ACTCCTACAGCTGAGAATCCAGAGTATCTGCCTCCATCCTCCGCCTGATAGGCAACACCAGTGTATACATCCCCATACGCCCTGCTCTCCCATTCTCCACTCATTCGCTCAGCATAGGATCAGTGCAGGGAGGTTTCCTGGACCGCTCCTGTGTGAACTCAGGCTTTGACATTTTGTATTGACACAAATCGCACCAAAAAGTATCGGTTTGAGTATCAGGAGCATTTTCACAAGTACTCATGAAATACTCAACGCAACCAGTATCGTGCACCCCTAATTATTTCATACCCGTTGGCCATTTGAGTTCCCTCAGAAACCTGGCTAAATAACTCCCATTTAGCAATCCCCCATGTCATGTCTTGTTTCTAGGATGTGAAAACAACTGTCTCAACCCCAACATTACAGGAGTGAAAAACAACTGTTTTGCTTCCAAGCGACAAGCCAGGATGTGAGGTTTGCCAACTTGGGAGTTTTTAAGCCAGACTTTTGGGGTTGCAAATGGCCTAAAGATATGACAATAGTATTACTGAACATTTTGTGAAGCTGCTCAGTTTTTTTTTTATATATAGTTATACTGGGCCCCCTTGACTGCATAGGCCATTTTCTGGAAAAAGTGAGCCTAGGCTTGAAGGGCCTTCAACTGTAGGCATCGCAAGTAATAAGTCGTTCCATAAAATATTTGTTGTTATAATTAGTCCCGATTTACTAGGCTGTAGTAAAACTTCCCGAATGCCCTTACATTATAAAGATAAAGTGACTGATTATTTGTGCATAGGTTTATTTCAGCAAATACAAGAGGCTTATCCAACTGCCTCTATATCTATATACCGTATGTGCATAACAAGAGTCCCTTGGAAGGCAACAGACAGCCCTCCAAGTGTCATTCATGGGGAGTGTTTGGTCTGTATGTGATGTAGATTGAAAGGCAATAAACAATTTGACTTCAGCTAATTCCTGGTTTCAGAAGCCAAAATGAGAGCAGAAGTCATCTGAGTTTTTGCATTTTTTTTGCAAGGAATTGGAAAGATACAAAGCATCTATTGCTTTCATTGAATGTTACTTTCAAAAGAGAACAGAACCATTTAGAAGCATCTACTGGAAATGACTGTATTCGCAGTCAGGAGAGCCAGAAGAAAATCCTCATACGATCTTCTTCCTTTGCCTGAACTGCCCCAGAACGTCACTACAAAACATCATGGACGTCACAATAGTCCCATCCTTCAAGAGCAAGTAAGCATACAGTGGGCCACTTACTCTGAAATGGGAAACTTTTAGAAATTTGAAAATGGCGATACCCCTGTGAAGTTTTTCAAGAAATTGGGGGGTCATATAGGATAAGAATCACTATTACACCTAAGAAGTTGAGTGGGTCTAAAATACAATATATGGCCAAAGGTTTGTGGACACGTGACTATTACACCTATCTATACAGCTAAAAGAATGTGGACACCCCTTTACCCCCAAATTAGAGCTCAGATGTCTCCAGTGAAGGGTACTGCTAATGCTACAACATATAGAAAGCCTTTTTAGTTAATCGTATGCTTCAAAACTTTTTGTAATCGTTTGGTGAAGGCCCTTTACTGTTCCAGCCAAGACTGGGTTCCTGCGCACAAAGCAAGCTCCATAAAGACATGGTTCGACATGTTTGGTGTTGAGGAACTCAAGTGTCCTACACAGAGTGCTGACCTCAACCCTACTTAACACCTCAGAGATGTATTGGAACACTGATTGTAAGCCAGGTCTTCTATCTAATCCAACTTCCGTACCTGAGCTCACAAATGGAAACCGAGACACATTTCAAAAACTTGTGGAAAAACTTCCCAGAAGAGTGGAAGCTGGTATATCCACAAGCGGTGACAGCTCCATATTAATGGCCATGGGTTTGGAATGGCATGTCCAAAAACTCATACAGGTGTGATGGTCAGGAGTCCACAAACGTCTGGCCACATAGTATAATGATAAGAATTACATTTAGGGGTTAAGTGAAGCTTCAACAGAAGTTCTCACTTGTGTGGAACATGCCTGAAGAGCTTTAAAGAGAACCTGTAAAAATGGAAGCTGACTGTGCAGACTGCTTTTTAAAGGTTCAGGCTCCAGAGCTGTTATTCTAAGGCACGCTCCTGGTTCCTTTTAATGGTCCCACTCCAGACTCTTCCAATTCATGTAAAAGACATGTGCCGTACACAAAACTAATAAAGAGGATTCTTGATTGGCTGCTTTTTCTTACAGCACCACCCAGATCACACTATTACATATACATTATAACCAAAATGGGGTGTAATTTCTGTTCACATTACCGCGCAAAACTCCGGTCTAAACAATAACCTGTTCTAGAGTTTGTAATGATGTAGATGTTTACATCCAAATACAACCTACTAAAAAAGACTCATATTCTGAAGTCGAGAGGGTTGAGAATATTTAAAATCAGCCGAAGTCCTAGACCAGAAAACCAAAGTAATGGTCCTGTTGCACTATGAACAGCTCTGACACACTGAGGAGGGATTGGGGTGTAAACAGACACACATACAGCTCTGAATATTCAATTCTTTAACTTAAAAATATCAAAATGTTTTTGTTGGGGTTTAGTTTAGAAGGATCTCTAATATGATATTAATGGCAGTAAAGTGTACCTGTCATGCTAGTGACACAAGGATCTCTGGTATAATAGGCTTATGTTCCTGTCCTATATACATGTTCCATGTGGAAGGTCATCATTGTGCTGAAGGATTAAAAGGAGGAGGAGAAGTACAGCCAAAGATCTTTTGGCTTTATTTCTCCTGTGGATTACAGGAGTGCAGTTTGTTCTGCACTCTTGTGACCAGTTTTCAGCCGAGAGCTGGCTGAAGCCCGCTGTCAGCTGACATCACTCAGCTGGTCCAGTCTGGGGAAAGATCCCAACTTCCCGACCCGCTGAGAGCCTGAGCCAGCCGCGTCCTACCCCTCCGCAGCCCAGCGCTCCAGTGATCGCAGGGGGGGGGGCATAGCAGATAGCTGTGACTGACAGTCATCTCTTGCTGCTCAGAGTGGCTGTGAGAACTCAGTGATCAGCGGTCATATGATCACTGAGTTCTCAACCTTACGAGCCAATGGAGGCATGGGCATGGACCGATGCTGCATTCACCTAGGTAAGTATAAATGGGGGGAGTCCATACTTCTCTTTTAATGCACTTCTGTCTGTAACTGCTGCACAGCTGGATAGGACAACTCTCTGCCTACAAAGCTGCGCAGCACAAAAACAGCAAGGCATGCCAAGGAACCAGAGGGGTGCTTGGTGCACCACAAAGCTCAATCAAGGCTCCACTGTCTTTATAAACCTCCATAGGAGTGAGTCAGATGTCAGAGTAGTAACAATCCTTCATTCAGGATGAAAAAAATGTTGAATTAAAAGACACTAAGGCACCATAAACAGGCTGTTTGGGGGAAAGCTTGGCCAGCATGGCTAACACATTCTGTCTACATGGATGTTAGGCCCAAAGTGGTAGAACACAATGTGCTAACGTGTTCACTTTGTGATGCTCTTTCATGAACACAGCCTGCAATATAAGTACCATACCTGAACCTGCAGGCCGGATCATCACCTTTCTCCCCAAGGCTTCCCCCTCTACACCCAGCACAGCACCGGAGTGCAGCCACAGAGACAGCAGATGCAAATTTGCTCCCCATGCTTGTGTGCCCTAATGGTGTTCAGGACTAGTTTCCAGTTTCTCTTTCCATATATTTAGCAAAGTTCCAATTTTCAACTACAGAGTACTGGTATGCTGACTTTTAAGGGTGATTTGGGTGATGATGCATTGTCTATGGTGGAGTGCATGACTATCCCAAATCAGTGCTTTTGGCGGGCCAGTGATCGGCAGCTTATAATATTTGCCCACTTGCTACACATAGCTTCCCCTTCCACATCTACGTGACCACGGCACTCCAAAGTAAGCGGAGAGACTGGCCCAGGAGACATGGTGACTTGGCCGCATCATATATGACCATACATCCATTGTCTAAGATCTATGGCCAGATTCGATTGTTATTATGGGTTCCCTCTGTCATACACAGACCACGCTCTCTTTACTGCTTTGCTTAATAGGCTGGTACTGCTCTTACCAGGCAGAGGAATATATACAGAATGTCTTGATGACAGTGGAACTATTAAAAAAAAAAAAAAAAAAACTCAGATTATCCTAAATAAGAACAGACTGCATTGCACATACCGTCTCATCGGACTCCTCTTTTCTGACATTGAATCTGATTGGTGACTGTGAGAAAAGGCTCAAGTAAAGAATAGTTACTGGTAAACAGACTACTTTCTGTATCTTTCTATGGAATCAGATTTATATTAAATTGTCACTGGCCATCAAACAGTGCGTAACATATCTGGGGCAGAATAGTTTGAGATGTCCCAGGAGATGAACATATACCAAACACTGAAGATTTTCCCTTTAATAAGCCAATATATATATGTATATATATATATATTAATGGGCCTTGTACAATCTCAGGGGAGTTTCCACTCTGCTTCCTCCACAAACAGGTTATCTTTGGCGTTTGTGAGTGAAGAATGGGGAAGTATGGCATCACACGAAGCTCCTTGTGTCCCAACAGCCTCCAATATATCCTCCTCTGCCAGCAAAGGTTAATATATTGTATAAAGTATCCGATTCTCCCCCCCCTAATTTTTTTCTGAAGACATGGACAGACAGGCGGACATAGTAAAAATGGCAGCTGCAATGTAAAAGAAAAATTAATCAGCGCTGGACAGTGTCTAAATCGGCTTCCATCATCCTCCCTTTTGCCCAAAGTTGGCCATAGGGACGCCAGTCTTTTAGCACCTGCATACTTGGACAGCAAGCTGACGGAGCCTTTGCCGAGAGGCTAGCGCCGTCATTGTCCTGCCTAAAGTCCTTCAATTCAGTGTATATGAAGCAGGTCAAGGTGCAGATTCATTCTTCCTCTCGGGTTTTACAGTGTACAAGCGGTGAGAAGTTGCAATTTTATGGCCATGTTTTAAACTACTCTGCCTCAAGGGCATCTGGCAGGTTATCCTCAGTAGGGTCACTAAAATCTGCCTTCATCTCTAACGGTACATCCTCATCCTCATTATCAGCAGCTTCAGACACCACCATAGATTCTTCATCATATTTCGCTATTTTTCGAGGCTGAGCCAAAGAGGAGTTTTCCAGAGACTCAATGTCCTCAATTCCTGCCCGATAATGGATCATGAGCAATGTGAGGGCCTGTAGTCTCTCACCAGACTTGGACAGTGCTGCAGACAAAAGGGCTTTCCTCCTGGCTTCTGTAGACTCTCGCTCTTCTTTAACAAGAGAATTGTTATGTTCCAGTTCCTGATCGATTTCGTTCTGGAGTTTATCCAACATGAACTCTAACTTTTGTATCCTTTCGTCAGTTGGCAAACCTCGATAGAGATCGCGGCCTATCTCCTTGACTGCTATAAAAACACTGTCATCCAATCCTCCCTCTTTGCGGACTAATTTTGACGAGCTGCCACTAGACCGCTTAGAAGGGCTGTTTGCCCCACCAGTCTCTGTATCACTGCTCTCGTTGTCTGAAGTGTTCGGGGTTTGCTTTGGAGAAGGCTCAACCAAATCACATCCTTGTTCTGGCTGTCTCATTTTAGTTCCCTGTCTCAGAGGGTTCAAGAACCGGGAGCTGGTGTTGATGATATGTCTGGTGATGCCCGCTGTTCTGTTTCCCACAGATTTGGACTCCAGGTCAGGTCTCTTCTCTAGAGACACACAGAATGGGTTTTCAGCAAGACACTTTTCTTGACATTTCTTATGGCAGACATAGCCGCAGTTCATGCACTGCGATGCAGCTTTGGTCCACACCTTCCTCTTACAGTGGTCACACAAGGTGGAATTCTGAAACTGAGTGTCTTGGAAATTATGCTTTGATTCAGAAAAATTCACGGAGGGGGGAGGAAACTCTTCTTTCGGCAGCATGGTCATATCTTCTGTAAAAATGGCATCTCTCTCTTTCTCCAGCAGAAGGCTTGAGTTCTCAGACTCGCCTTCCATCAGATACTTGAAGTTCAAAGTGATATCACCATAGCACAGTTTGTCATTGAACCCCTTGTGCATGCTCAAACTCCTTAGTGCAGTTCTGCTGACATTGGCTTTGGGTTCTGGAGCATTTAACCGGAATCGCGAATGGTACTCCAGAGAGGAGGTGGAAAGGCATTCTAAAGAAATGTCTTCTAATTTGATGCTGACATGCCCGATGCAACACAGACTGCCAGTTTTAAAAGTGTCTCGGCACCAAAGAGCTACATTCAAATATCTGTGGTGGTTTTCGATATCAAAAATGCAAGATGCTCTTGTCCATCGACCTTGCCGATTCCTGTACAAGGTCTCTGGAGATTCCCACACATATTGGTCTTCTAAGCTCTCCCTGGTACTAGTAGAACCTTCTGAGGTCCTGTCTTTTGCAGCCTCTGGTTTCAGGGAGCTGGGTTTCTGAACGGAGAACTCTTCACCAACCTCTGCTTGTTTTCCAGATTTCTCAGCTAGCTTGTCACCATTCACAGAGGGTGGAGGAGCTTTATCTGCTTTATCAAGGGAGGGCTCAACAGGCTCCACAGTATTCTGAGTTTCACACGTAGTTAAGGTTAGCTTAACTTGAGGTCTCGGGGGTACCGGTGGCTTGATGCCAGATCCTGATGAAGTTCTGTTGAGTTGGGTAGTTTCTTGGTTCTCTGGAGGGCTTACTTTCCCCGATTTTGCTGGAGTCTTTGCTGCTGTTTGGTTACTTGCTGTATTTGGTTTGCGACTCAGAATGGGTGAGATGGACCCCAGAGATTTTGTTGAAAGATTTCCTACAATCCGTTTTGGACTTTGACTTACTGGCAGGAAATTGTCATCTTTAGTCTCCCCAGGAGGTCTCACTTCACTTGCCAGGTCTTCAAACTCAGAATCCAATTCTTTGTTTTCTGCATCCATCAAGAGACCCGCTTCATCCTCAAATGTCTGCGGGAATGCTGAATCTTCTAATGTTCCCATGTTCTCCTGAAGGCTGCCTCCACCTTGGTTCTGACCGGCTGGCCTCTCATAGTAGAGCTGCACTCTGTCCCCTGCTTGTTTGATGAGCTTGAATGCATGCATCGAGGAGGTAACCTTAATACCTGCAAGACAAGACAAGGAAAATTATTAGAGCAGCTTGGTTAGCCAATTCCAGACAGCACTTTTCCCTTAAAGGAAACATCCACTTTTCCATTAAGGAAACTACTAATTATATCATTATATAGCATCAAAGTGCAGCAAGTGATAACAAATCCCTGAGGAAGTCACCGATCACGTGACAAAATGCGTCAGGGGTTGAGCCACGTAACAGCATCACATCCGGAAACTGGAAGTAGACCAGCTTACATATCAAAATAGCTGATGTTTATCCATAAGGGGGCAATGTGATGTTATTTAAAAAGGTGATAATGTTTGTGCACTGGAGTTTTCAGTGCACTTTATTTGTGAGTGGCTTTTTCTTTAGCTTAATAAAAGAGGATTTGTCAGACAGTATTACACTATGAGAGGTTTATTTCTCCTTTCTTGGTGAATGGGCTGGAGTCTGAGCAGAGCTTCATAGATACTTGCACCAGATATTATGAAGAGATCATATGATATATGAAGAGTGTGAGCATTTAGTCCTTTGCCAGCTTGGGCATCTTTTGCCTGGCTTCTTTAGGATGCCGGTCTGCAGCCGTCTTCATTTATATTCCAAAGAAGACTGTGAGCAGGCAGGTAGGTTTCTTTTATTGCAAAAGAGACTTTGCATGTCTATTCTGCTTTAAAGAGTATGCCTGCTTGTAGTTTTTGAAAGCAGGACTTTAGTTCCGCTTTAGGATCAAAATGAAATAAAAAAAATTCACATATAAAGTTAAAGAAAGGTTTTAAATTATGTGAAAAAGGCCAAGAACTCTCCCTACCAGCTATCATTTTTCATATTTAACTGACTTATAATAACTATACAATTGTTTTTGTCTCAATTTTTATAAATAAAATACATACAAAGCCAATTATACATTCCCTACAAATAACAGCTATGGGCATGTATGACTAGAACAGGGAAGTTCTGGGTGTATATATCTACAGAGGAGTGGAGCACAACATTGAAACAAATCAGGAAGAAAATGCACTACCTCTGGTAAATATTTATAAATTGAATAAAATTAAGAACACACACACACGGTTACTGTTAATACTACAGCATTCAAAAGACATTGTAGAAAATTGTACACTTTAAACCTTGTGGCTACAGTTTGATTAATACGGGTCCAAAGGTTTTAATGAACGATCACAGTTACAGCAAGGCAACATTTTGGAGTTTGCAGGACCCCTTCTTCAGGCATGTGACCCCTTCATCAGGCATGTGACCTTTTTATCAGGCATGTGACCTTTTTATCAGGCATGTGATCACATGCCTGATGAGGGGTCCTGCGAGAACCCAAAACGTTGCCTTGCTGTAACTATGTGATTGTTCTTTAAAACTTTTGGACCCATACTGGTGATCCTGGTGTGCTGGTGACATTCTCCCTTGCAGATTCTGTTTGGGTCCAGGCAACGATCGCTGCAGCACCCACTTATACACACAGCCATTTTTAAACACAGGAACGTATGCGTTTGGATTGTACACTTACAGTTTAAGACCCTTTTCTGTTTCCAGCAGGACTGTGCCCATGTGCACAAAGCCAGCCACAAAGACATGGTTTGGTGTGGAGGAACTTAAAGTGGTAGTAAACTCTCTAAGTTTATTTTTACCTACAGGGAGTCTTAAATTAATGCTTACCTGTAGGTAAAATGAATATTTCCTAAACAAGCGACATTTAAGAGATATTCCAGCTAGTAGCAGCTGGTGACGTCACCAGCGCATGCGCTCTGAAGGAATGGCATACCCATGCCTTTCCTTCAGAGCTGTGTCCTGCCCGGAGCTCCAGACAGCCAGAGCCCGCAAAACTGGAAAGAAGACCGGGTGAAAATGGAAGCCCGGTCAACGGTGACAGCGTTCCGCTGGAGGGCTTCGTTTTAAGGCAAGTCTTTAATACAAAAAAATAAAAAATTAAGCTCTACTACCACTTTAAGTGGCCTGTACAGAGCCCTGACCTTAACCCTACTGAACATCTTTGGGATGAATTGGAATGCCAGTTGTGAGCCAGGTCTTCTCATCCAATATCAGTACCTGACCTCACAAATCGGCACAAATTCCCACAAACACACTCCAAAATCTTGCAGAAAGCCTTCCTAGGACATTGGAGGCTGTAATACCCACAGGTGAGTTCAACTCCATATCAAGGGTTATGGTTTTGGCATGAGATTTCCAACAAGGCCATACAGGTGTATTGGTTCTGGCCATACAGTATGTATATAGTGACTGCGCTGCTTCTTTTTCTTTTCTGTGTCAGTAATCCAGAATATATAGAAGACATACAGCCAGGAAATAAGCATTTCCAGCCAGGACTCAGCAAAGATAGCTCCTGTATTTCTCCCAGAACAAGGGCAGAAAAAACATGGCAACACTAACATGTTACCAGCAGAATAAGGGTGGAATCTCCTACTCTGGCCTGTCCTCTCCGTTCTATGGGCTCAGAAAGAAATTCAGGCATAGACGGAGACTTATGTGGGGTACACACGAGGAGTTTTTTCTTGTTCAACCCAACAAGCTGAACGAAAAAAACCTGAGAGGTGCCGTACTAACAATGCCATGAGCTACTGTGCTCTGACAGGGGGACCACCCTCCGCCTTCCTGCCAGAACACACTGATCACCGCACAGCCATTGGCTGCAAGTGCTGATCAGATGCTGGTTTTCCAGCATGCCCATTCAATAAAAGCCTGTCGTTATACTGGCTTCTTTTCGGACAGGCTGCTGTACGCACTGGGCCGAAAGTCGGCCAGTTTCTGTTGAATGGGCCAATACCCGACCCATGTGTACCAGGCTTTACAGCCTACACCCAATCAGAGGACAACTGACAGCAGCATCCATCTCATACCTCCAATTGCAATAAGGCGATCGCCTTTCTTCAGGTCCATGCCCGCAGCGGGGGAATTTGGCATGACTGACTCCACACAGATATGTCCTGTGTCTCCATCTCTGGCCTGCATCAGGATCAGCCCAATGTTTTGTGATGTCCCTTTAATTAACTCCACCTGGAACACAAACACAAAATGGAGAATTCTGTTAAAGAGGTATAAAAATAAATCTGTACATACTGAACACATCAACTAATCAGCTCCAACTAATGCTCCCTGAAAGGATTAAAATGTAAACAAATGACCTTTTTAAGGGTCATTAGAAAAACATGTGAGTGACAATAACCTGCACTGAGATCTTCAATCCAAATCAGTCGCTTGTGGCTGATCTGAATTCTGAGAACACATTAGAAGAGTGCCAATAGGTGAGTACATGACTGACCAACATAACAGGTAGTGAGACCTTTGCCTTTTCCCCTAGCCTGTCATGATGTGATCCTCTGCGAGGTTGTATTGCTGTGTGGCAGAAGGGTTTTGTTCTCTTCTCTATATAGAAAAGAAGGTGCTCCCTTACACAGATTTTCCAAGAGCTGAACAACATACATGTTTCCAATTAATAGTGCTTCCACAAGTCAGAAAGGCAGGCTATCCCACCCTAGTGAAAGAGAAGATTTAAGGCTGACCATATGTACAGACATTGGAGTGGATTTACTAAAGGCAAATAGACTCACCACCTGTCGGCAGCCTCTAAAGTCTGATCCACAATTGGTTCGCTCTTCAGAGGAAAGGAAGATTTAGACGCACATCTAAATCTACCTTTACAAATTTGTCTGCTTTCACACTGCTCCAATGTGACTCAAAAAATACACCAAAAATGTAACACAGATGATTTTTAGATGTGTTTTCTATTCATTTCAGTGGGGGCCTGCATTTTTGGTTCAGTTTTGAAAACCTCACCGAAGATGCAGCAGCATGCAGGACCGTACCGCTTCTGCAGAACCGTGCTGTGAAGAGCCACACAGGATTTAAAGGGACTGCGATTTTGCTGCGCTTTTAGCACAGTGAAATCTGCGTTAGTGACTTTGCACTATGGTGACTTAGTTAATCCTGATTGGTTGGTACAGAAAATTACTTTAGTCTTGCGCTGTGTTTTTTGGATGTTTTCAGATCAGAAAATCCCTAAACATCCAATTACATTAGCTGGGTGCGTCAACACGCGTTATGTTGTTGCGGTAATGTTTTGAGGCAGCCTATTGAAATCAATGGGTTACCAATATACCAAAACATCTGAGACATGGACATACCACAAATATTGTAACAAAACATACTATGGGGCTGTGATACATGTGCATGGTCTTAATGCGTAGGGTGACATTAAAAATGAATAGCACTGCAATGCATGCAACATAACATGCGCTGCCATGCATTACTGAGATGCAGAATTCTAAAGAACCGTGATGTCCACCGTCTGGTAACCGGATTCTAGGAATGGAGACGCCACCTACAGATTTCTTATCGATGGGATTTCCTTACATTAAAGTACATGAGAGGGGTGATGGTCTTCCAGACGGTTTGCCAAGGTGGACACACACTGTACAACGGACGTAGTAGATGAGCTCTGCTTGCCATTCTCATTGCCGTATCACCAATCAACGTCTTAAGAAGTTGGAATTCTGGGAAATGCGAGCGAGGGTCCCGATCTGAGCACACGGGGAGTAATTATAGGGAGGATGCCCTGTATGAAGACAATCTGTCACTACACACAGCCCCCCCACCCCATACATAATTCACACCAAATCTTTTCCAGGAAGAGACAGATCTCCGCCGCGTCCAATTCACTCAAGAAAACAACATCTACTTTACACAATTGCCACCAATCTCGTCTCCACACATGTCATGCGGCAGGAAAATAAAATGTTTAGCAATTATGAAGACATTTTAAATAAAAGCCAATTACAGGAGGCAAGTGAAAGGAAGCAGCTGGCATTTTATCATGTTCAATAATCCGCAGACGGAGACCCTCCCCTCCCCCTCTGCACTACGTGCCCCCATCCCAGAGAGAGCAATTTACAGAGCACTGCCAGCGGCTTCTAGAGGCTGGATCCTACAGGCAGCTAATGAGCGCACCGGCCACTTCCACCCAGAGCCGCGGCCGATATTGATCTCCACTATATTGTGTCTGCATTCACATTACTCGTCAGTGGGAGGACAAAGTCACCAAATCGCCCTCCTGTGATGCCACCAGGACTCTATCATCAAGGCGACATTTGGAAACAGGATTGTCACACGTAAGGATGTGGTCACATCTGCTGGGAAGTGACACACAAAACACACTACACATTCTACATGTACAAATGCATAGCACAGGCAGCAGACCAGTGCGGTCAGGCAATGTGCCCAGAAGCAGCAGGCCAGAGCGGTCAGACGACATGCCCAGCGGCAGCAAGCCAGTGTGGTCAGGCGACATGCTCAGAGGCAGCAAGCCAGTGCGGTCAGGCGACATGCCCAGAGGCAGCAGGCCAGTGCGGTCAGGCGACATGCCCCAGAGGCAGCAGGCCAGTGCGGTCAGGCGACATGCCCAGAGGCAGCAGGCCAGTGCGGTCAGGCGACATGCCCAGAGGCAGCAGGCCAGTGCGGTCAGGCGACATGCCCAGAGGCAGCAGGCCAGTGCGGTCAGGCGACATGCCCAGAGGCAGCAGGCCAGTGCGGTCAGGCGACATGCCCAGAGGCAGCAGGCCAGTGCGGTCAGGCGACATGCCCAGAGGCAGCAGGCCAGTGCGGTCAGGCGACATGCCCAGAGGCAGCACAGTGCGGTCAGGCCATGCCCAGAGGAAGCAGGCCAGTGCGGTCACGCGACATGCCCAAAGGCAGCAGGCCAGTGCGGTCAGGCGACATGCCTAGAGGCAGCAGGCCAGTGCGGTCACGCGACATGCCCAAAGGCAGCAGGCCAGTGCGGTCACGCGACATGCCCAAAGGCAGCAGGCCAGTGCGGTCAGGTGACACGCCCATATGCAGCAGGCCAGTGCGGTCAGGTCACATGCTCAGAGGCAACATGCCAGTGCGGTCAGGCGACATGCCCAGAGGGAGCAGGCCAGTGCGGTCAGGCGACATGCCAAGAGGGAGCAGGCCAGTGCGGTCAGGCGACATGCCCAGAGGGAGCAGGCCAGTGCGGTCAGGTGACATGCCAAGATGCAGCAGGCTCATGTGGTCAGGTCACATGCCCAGAGGCAGCCTTGCATCCCTGGTGCTCAACCGGCAGCCCAGGGCTACGTGTGGGCCCTTTGGTACTTGTGTGGCCCCAGCAGTCAGCAGTGCATTCTCTGACTTGTAAAGGGAATGCAATGGCATTGATCTTTAGGGATCTCTTGTAACAAGTTCCCGGGCTCTGTCTGTGTGTTGCAGCATGTTCCCAATCTCTAACCACACTAAGCATTTTAGCAGTCTCTAACCATCTCCTGTAGTATGTCTGCAGATAGTCTTCTGTAGCATCGCATGTATTAAACATTATGTGTGACCCTCTGGCGATGTCAGGGGCCACAGTTTAGGCCTCCATGGCTCATAAGTTGACACACTGGTTTACATATTTACATCTGTACTGTATCCATGACCAACTTATTGCAGTATTACACAAAATGCGGAGTTCCCCTGTGAGCTCTACGGAGATCCTAGAGATCAAATTCCAAGCAAGGAGACACAAAGAAGAGCTGCAGACAGGTAAGTGGTCACATGACTCATATGTGAGCCATTGCAGGACTCGGGTCACGGTGTCAGTCAGAACAGCCGCAGGACAAGACGAGGGAGCTCTGAGAATGGCTCATGTCACCGCGGTTTGTCGATCGTTAAAGGGCAATGGTGGCTGGCAGCCAGGGGAGCAGCACAGCCGTGTCACGTCCACTTAGGAGAGACTGGCAGGAGATTGGCCCCGGGGCCCGGCTCACCATAATAGTATCAGTCACCTGACTAGAACACACAACCTCTAAACCAATTAGTTCAATTTCAGGAAATTGACGGTGAACGCAGGACATGCGGACTTACACGATCGCCTCAGCCAAGGAGAAAGAAGGGTCTGGCAAGGAAAGGGTAACTGCAAGGCCCGAGGCACAACCGCCCCAACACAAAAGCCGTGCGTGGCAAATGCAGCCAACGGCCAGAGTCTGCAGTGACCCCCTACATTCAGACGTCAGATCATAAATATTGAAACACAATATTCCACTTTTTTTTATATAAAAGAAGGCAACTCCAAACATATCTATATATAATCTGGTCCAGCCAATTTCTCCAGGTATACTCAACACAACTCGCCGTAAAGTTTTTAAATGTATTTATAGATCCCGCTCACCCCATTGTCAACCATTACCTTCTCTGGTGAGAAACAGCTGAAGGATCACATGCCTCACTGCGTTATATCACAGGAATTGGGCAAGGGATTTCTGATGGCACCTAATGGGAGATCCATCCAAATTACCCACTTGCTCCACACTTGCCTGGAACATGCTTGCACTAAAGCCAGAGGATCAGCATGACAGTTGGGCAACTTGTATTGTCACTTATGGCAGCCTCGGTTTTATTTCTATAATGTGTGGCTGATGCATGGCACAGAAACATTGGTGGTATTAGAGGAATCCACTCCCCTCCCCCCAGGAACACTGGTGGTATTAATGGGACCTGCTCCCGTCCCTCCTATGGAACACCTTAGTTATTAGCGTGACCCACTTAGCTAGCCCCTAGGAATACTGGTAGTACTATTAGAGGGACCCACTCCTTGCCCCAAAAGAATACCGGTGGTATTAGAGGTATCCACGCCTCTTCCCCCAAGGAACATTGGTGGTATTCGAGGGACCCACTCCCCTCTCCCAAGGAACATTGGTGGTATTAGAGGAACCCACTCTTCCACTCTTCTCCAACCTAGGAACATTGGTGGTATTAGAGGGACCTACTCCCCTCCCTCAAGGAACATTATTGGTATTAGAGGGACCCACTCCCCTCCCCTCCCCCAAGGAACATTGGTGGTATTAGAGGGACCCACTCTTCCACTCTTCTCCAACCTAGGAACATTGGTGGTATTAGAGCGACCTACTCCCCTCCCTCAAGGAACATTGGTGGTATTAGAGGGACCCACTCTTCCACTCTTCTCCCCTCAAGGAACATTGGTGGTATTAGAGGGACCCGCGCTTCTC